ATAAAAGGAAGGCCAGACCATCTCTGTTACATGAGCCTCCCATGCAAATTGCCAACGCTTTGCTGCAGCACCTGCAATGTCTGGCCTGGTTCCTCTGCATGCAAATGTGCAGGGAGTGCACACTATGTCCTCAGCCATGCCACTGTTGCCAGGGCTTCATGACTTCATTCCTGCCACACCCATTTTGTGCTATGCCATGCTTTTCCAGGATGCCTTGGTGGTACAACACTGTGATTAATAGAGGGTTAACTCATATCTGAAACAATGCAGATGAGAGCTGTTGGTGCTGAAGTGTAGGGGTGCTGGGTTTTCCTAGTGACAAGTGTGAACTAGCACCATAGTCTGGGGATTTTCTCCCACGCTTTCTTGATACTATTTGCATCTGTCGGGTGGACGGGCAGTCCCAGAGACTGCCTCTGCCCTCAGCCTGGGTGTCATTCTCTAATGCCCTACACAAAGAAAGCTGTGCTTTCCCTCTAGTGAAAAGTACCCAAAAGCATGGTCCTTGCTTCACAGGTCCTATGACTGAGGATGGATTGGAGCCACGAACATCAATGCTGCAGCTGACTCTGACAAGTAGGGCCTCACAACTTGGATTATAAAGGAGAAATTGTGGGAAGGCTGGTCGTGGTGTTTGTCTACCCTCAGTGCCCAGCTGTTCCAATTCCTTAGGATTCTCTTTAATTTCTCTTACCCTGGTTTACAGTTGAGCTTTTATTCTTGTTCTAAGGCATTCTCCCTCCTCCTCAAACTTTCTCTTTTAAACCTCCCTCTTATCTGTCTGTGCCCCTTTTCTTTGGTCCTCAAGTGAAGGAAATACGTAATCCATTTTTAAGTACTTTTTTCACTAGTTTTTTTTCATGTAAGGTAGGACTTTAGGATCAGATGAGATTGCTCATTCCTTTCCCCTGAACTGCACCATTGTGGCAGTGTTGTTTTGGATGGGTTTGAGCTAGCAATTTTCCAACCCTAGGCTCTGACCCACTTTAGAATGAAAGCAGATTTTTGGCTGGAATAGGCACCAGCTGAAGAAAGCATATTTAGGAAGGGCAAGGTGTGTGGTAACTCCCAGTGGAGTGAGTGGGTGGGCTTTTGTTTGCTTTCCTTCTTGGGATCATATATTTAATTATGTGGAGTTTACTCTATTTCAACAGTTTTGGAGTAAGGTCCTTGTGTTGCTCCTTTGGAGCACCTTCCTTGGTCCGTAGCTCACAGCATGACAGCCAGATGCATTCGGGGGGTGGGGGGGGTGAGGGGGGGTGGGGAGGGAAGAGATGTGAAAACCCACTAATGATAGCAATGACAATCAGCTTTGTCCTCTGTGAGTTCCATCATTTTTTCTAATCATGATAATCATGATAAGTGGGAATTGAACAACGTGATAGGTTTGCAGAGCTTATGGTGTTATTTGCAGAAGCCCAAGACAAAACAGGAGGCCTGGAAGAAAAGAATGTCATGGTGCAAATGAATTATTTCAATAAAACGTGACATGGAAAGGAGATGTAAGGAAAGCCAGAGCAACTCAACCTACAAGTAACTTCGTAAGTGAACAAATGAATCCAGGCTAGCATTTTAAGGCTGCCGGAAGCACAGGGTGACAGAGTTGGCCAGAATGGGAAGAGGTGGTCAAAGGCATCCTAGGCTGGAGGTTAGATACAGCTGGAAATCGCTGGGGTGCTTTTTCTGTGATAACTGAGACCTGATCACTGTGATCAGGTTCTGGTGGTGTCCAAAGGGGTTTTTATGTGGTACTCAACTGGGTAATACTGAAACAGGTGTTCATGCAATTCTGTCAGGTTTCAGCAGGAGGTATCTGTGTATCCATCTTTGCTGTGGTTTGTGGTACAACACCTTCAGTGAGTGTTCACTGCAACTGGGGGGACTTTTTTTTCTCTTTAAAATGATTTGATGTCTCATGCAAAGAGTGCTTGCAAATTGTGGATGGAGGAAAAGTGCACTGAAAGTTTGCTTTCATTCTAAACAAACGTAGTGGGTTTCAGTGCAGCCAAGTCCCTGGTTTACGTACTTGGAAGTGCTGTGACAGGCTTTCATCTCTCATTGATTGTACCCTTTTTAAAAAGGGTAGCAAGGACACTCTGGGCTGTTACTGACCTGTCAGCCTCACATCTGTGCTGAGGAGCATCATGGAACAGATCTTCCCAGAAGCTGTGCTAAGGGACATGGAAGAGAAGGAGGTGACACAGGACAACCAGCATGGCTTCATCAAGGGCAAGTCCTACCTGCTCAACACAGTGGCATTTTGGGATGGCCTAACTGCATCAGTGGGCAAGGGAAGAGCCACTGATATCATCTATATGGTCTTCAATGAGACCTTTGTTACAGTCTTCCCCATGACATCCTTCTCTCCAAACAGGAAAGATACGAATTTGATAGGCAGACTGTTCAGTGGATGTGAAGCTGGTTGCAAGGTTGTACTCAGAGAGTGGTAGTCAGTGGTTCAATGTCCAAATGGAGATCAGTGCTGAGTGGTGTCCCTCAGGCGTCAGTGCTGGGGCTGATGTTCTTTAATTGGTCATCAGTGGCATTATCAGCAGGATTAAGTGCACTCCCAGCAAGTTTGCAGATTATACCAAGCTGTGTGGTGAAGCTGACGCAGGTGAGGAATGGGATGCCATCCAAAGAGTTGGACTAGATTACTTTCAAGGGTCCTTTCCTGCTCAAATGCTTCTATGGTTATTGCTGCCAAGAAGTGTGAGCTTCCTTCTCCTTGCCACAAATGGCTCACCTGCCTCAATTCTTCTTTCACATCATATGTTTTTCAGTGTTTTCAAGGAAATCTTTGACCTTCATGAACACGACTGAGGTCTTCTGTATCTTGATGTCCCTGAACTGCACAACCTTACGCTGCTTGGGTTGGCAGAAACGCAGCAAAACAACAGGTCACTTCTCTGCTGTATTTGTATCCCCTGGGAGACGTTTGCACTGCATCAGCGTAGGCTTCCAGTTCAAGTGACATAGGAAAGGTTTCTTGAGGGTCCAGTGGGTAGCAAAGCTGAGGAAGAAAGGAAATGAACCACAAATGACTTAAACTAAAGCTCCTCCTGAAAAGGTACAGCTGCTGCAGAAAATGGAAGCTGTTAGGATATTTTTAACATGTTGATGATGAAATGGTTAAGTCCACTGTTCAAAATACTGGGACCACTTTTCTGAATTACTGACATCTGGGAAGTGGTTAGCTTACATACATGTATAGTCTTAGGCTACATCCTCACCCTCCTTCTCCCTTCTCAGAATTACCACTCTACGTGCAGATACCAGCGACCAGCAGTGACTGCAAGCCTTTCCTTCCTGAGAAAGCACCGCAACGTTTATCAATGTATGCATTAGTCATCAAAACCACCACGACTACTATATAGGCCATTAAAAAACCCTGGGATTACAGCATCTCTGTCAAGTTCTCCTTTCTAGGTGCATCCTATCTATTTCACTTTTCCTACCCAAAGTAGAAACTTGTCACAGCTTTGGGGCCAGGTAGGCAAATGTGCGTGTTCTGATGTGATGCAGCAGGGACTCACCCAACTGCCTGACATTCTGGGGGAAACCCAGGCACATCAACTCCTGTGACTGAGCAAAATCTGGGCTTTGCTATGAAAATCTGTGTTTGAACATGAATCATGGGAATGAGTCTGAGATGGAACTTAAGTCATTTAATGAAAGTGGAAGCTGTTCCTGGACTCTCTGGGATTCCAATGCGAAGGGAAATAAAGTTCTCATTCACTCATTTTTGACACTGGTCTCTTGAAAAAACATCTTAGCAAGATTTTTGCACCTGTGTCAGAGAAAAATAAGATTCCAAGGGAAAGAAGAGGGGCTTCTGCATTTGAGTGGAAGACTCAAATTTTACTATATAAAACACAGATGTGATTTGAAAGCTCTCAACTACAATGTTATCACGTACCCACATTGTCTTTCTACTGCCTTCTGCCTTCCTCCTCTCTTTGTTCCTAGCCACATATTCCTTTCCCCTATTGCTCCCTGGCTGGTGACTTTGCCTCTTTTGGAGCAGCCCCAGCCCCAGCATAACCTTAGAGTGCAGGGCACTGCTGTGGGCCCCACTTTGCAGCGCCAGCTGAAAGCGATCCTCCTGTGTCAGAGCAGGAGCTGCTGGTATTGTGGGATCCTAAGGTGCCTAAATGCTGTCATGGGGCTAAATAGGAGGAGCCCTGGATCTTGGCTCATCCAAGTGGAGATTTGATCCTTGTGCCATAGAACGATCTGAATGTAACATACAGGGAGTGTGTGCACGCAAGGGAAGCAGTTGTGCCAAGTTTCCCCCCACCAATGTCAGACATCCATCAGTGTTTCACTCCCACTCTGCTGATAAGTAGCAAACTGCCACAAAATGCACGCATCAGCATTTAGCCACAAATTTGCAAATGCATAGGGATGGTTTCCCTTCTGCTGCTACTACTGTACCAGTAACTTTTTGCATTTCCTGGATGTTTTATTAGCACGGGGAAGTGCTTGATTTGAAGGTTATAAGTGGAAATATATTGCAGAGATCATTATTATTTTCCACTGTACAGTGCTTTTTTGCTGATGTAAGAGAGAGCAAAAAATAGTGTGGGGAATTATAGCCCCAAATATGTAAATATCTGACTGCAATAAAAACCCCCTTGCATGGGGTTTGCGTTCGGATGTATTTTGGGTTCTCTTTGTGGTTGAAGAGTAAACAATGAGGGGAATGAATGTTGATGACATTTATGCAGACCCAGCTAATGAGAAAGGACTGGGGGAGGTAGAGATAATGTGAGAAATTCAAATCCACCCTTCATCCCAATAGCTTACTTTTATCAATAATGCTGCATGTTGGGCTTCTGATCCGGCTGCGGTGAGCGGCCGAGAAATGATGTCATCTCTTTACGGTCCATTTGTCATGTGTGACTGCTGCAGTCTGCCTCTTGCTGCTTGTGTCAGAGCGTGACACTGCCAAATAAATAGAGGTGTCTTCCCTCCGGGCTCCCCACATCGTCCCTGAGGCTGCAGCCACTGTGAGGATGCGAGCACTGGCGTGGGGTGGGACAGGAGCTGCTGCGCTCCCATGGATGGTGCTGCTGCTGGTGTTGGTGGTGATGTCAGTGTCCCAAGCAGGTGAGCTCCTGGTGCCTTCGTATAGATAGCCTTGGTAGGGGTGGGTGTTCAGCCTTCATCTTGTATCAGGATGGCCTGGAAGAGGCAGAGATCCCTCCTGACTGCCTAACACAGGGTTTCTCCTATAGCAGAGGGAGTAGCCCTCCATTACTCCTGTGCTAGGAGCTGATTTAGCTGTTGAGAGCAGGGTGCAAGGGTATGGTCACAGATAACTCCTTATGCTGGCCCTGAAAGCATTGTCAGTGAAAGCACGGAAAGGGACAACTTCTTAAGCTCGCTGAATTTTAGGATCACTGAGCCTCTAAATAATGCTGTTTGCTTCTGTAAGTTGCCACTTTCTCTCTTTCTCAGCCATCCTGGAAGTAAACGGAAACCTGAGCTGTAGGTGCGTAAAGACAACTTCAGACTACATCAGCCCTAAGAGATATGACAGCATTGAATTAAGGCCCATGGGAAGCACTTGCAGGCGCACAGAAATCATGTAAGTGCTGTGTTTGCTTGGCCATAGCTACGGGGCAGAGATGCTCTTCTCTCCAGCAGCAGGGCCGGCACTGAGCGCTTTCTTCTGCAGCCACCGTGCTTCTCTGCTTCCCTTCTGAAAGCTGAAGTCTTCAAAAAATGCTGTCCATCTCAGCAGCACGAGTGCAAAACTACAGAAAAAACCTCTTTGAATGGCAGTGGTCTGTGCCCAGTGCAGGAGTGCAGTGCTTCCTGCTTCTTCCCCTTTTCCGGCTGTCCTGTGACTCCCCTCTCTTGTAAGCAGTGTTCTGCTGCTCGCTGCTCGCAGTGCTGTGAATGGAAGCTGGTTTCTGCAGATCGACTCTGTCTGTTAAAATCCTTTCCTCTGGAGGGAGCGTGATGCTCATAACCATCCCTTGCATTTCAGCATTAAACTGAAATCCTCAGCGAAAGTGTGTGTGAACCCTGAGGCCCCTTGGGTAAAGAAACTGCTGAAGCGCGTTGCCGGCATGTAAGTTTCTTTGATGAAAACCCTTGGTCTGGGGTAAGCAATGTTCCCTCAGGCAGCATCCAGTTGTGCCTGCAGTCCCAGGGCCCACTTTAGGAAATCAGGACTCGTGGGGTTAGCTGTGCCTTTCTGCAGGGTGCTCCAGCTCCCAGCACAGCAGAAGGGTTGCCAGGCTGTTCCTGTGGGTGGCATCAGCCCTGGGGGAATGGTGGTGACACTTCCTTTGGTTCTGACAGGAGCTGCTTCCCCCAGAGCCCTGCGCTATTCATGAGTTTCTCCTCCTTCTGCTTTTTGCAGGAAGAAAAGATAAGCTTCCTGCTAAGGAAGTTGGTGTTCGGAAGGCATGGTGTGTTCTGTCTTGAGACCTCAAGTCAAATAAAATTTGGGTTTTTCTTCCCTTGTGTTTTCCCTTGAACTGAATTTTAAGGGACTGCATTGAGCGTTGATCAACCCCACTCGTGTTGCTTTCCTGGTGAAGAAATCACTGCCGCCTGTGCCTGGTGCTCTGTGATTGATATCCTTTCACAGAGGGGCTTTGTGCACACAGTATTGTTGCCGTAGATCAGGTGTGTTAGGGGATGGGGGCACAAGCTTTCTCACAGATTCAGCACATGCAGCCACATCCAAGTGCAGGTGTTCACAGTGAGTATGGGGTTTGCAGGCAGCTGTAAGTTTTTATAAGCAGCAAAAGGCAAATAGAGACATCCTGGGGCTGGTGTGAGGCTCTTTACCACAGAATTGGGATAATAGGGCATGGGGGAAGAAGCAAGGACAAGTGTGCTAAAGCTCAAGATGTAGTTTTCAGGGGGCGAGCTGCTTGTAGGATGCATGTCATACACCTTCTGCCATTCAGTGTTGCTTGATTAACTTTTATTCCACTAATTATTAGTATCTCTGAAGTAAACAGTGTGCATCTTGTATGGATTGGATGGTGTGTCCTGTATATATGAATGGAGTGGGGCATCTTTATGAGATGGGATGGCTGCTACAGATGACATGCAAATAGTGGCTGTAGAGAAACAGTTAACATCTGACCACACAAGAAGAAAGAACACTCCAAAAACTCCAGGTTTGCATGGCCGCATGAGCTAGGAACTAGCAGTGGGGGAAATGACAGCTCTTGTTACCAGACCCAGCTTCTTTGGAAGAAGAAAACTGAGCCAGTTTCAGGAAGACCATGCCTCTGTGTGGCAGAGTATTATCAGCAATACAAACCCAGCCAGCATTGTCAGCAGGAAAGGGTAATGGATGAAAACCACCCCCAAACCCGGGGCCTCCCGTGCGCCACCACACTTCTCCTATTCCGTGGCTCAAATAGGGGATGCTGCTGGGCTGGGGCCAGGTTCTGTCAGTATGGCAGTGCGGGCAACCCTGCTGCTGGGGCTACTGCTGGTGGTCCTGTGCCCTGGGGATGCAGGTGAGGCAAGGGGAGGCAATGCACAGGGCTGGGCACCATTTTTGGAGGCAGCATCCTGTTGCTGTCAGGGGCTGAAGTGTTTCTTAAGGGTCTTCAGAGGCTTTGAAGGGATGTGGGGAGGGGGGGATGCAGTGCCTGGAAATGTTTTTGGAGGCAGCTGGGAAGGTGGGTTTTCAGGCAGTGCATGAGCTATGGCCGTGTCCCCCCCAGCCCTCCTGGAAGCCAACGGCAACCTGAACTGCCGCTGTGCCAAGACCACCACTGCCTTCATTCCCTTGCGCAAGTATGAGAGCGTCGAGGTGCGGCCAGTGGGGAGCAGCTGCCGGCGCCTGGAGGTGCTGTAAGTGGCTCCCATGGCAGTGAGGGGGCTGGTCCCCCTCTGTCAACTACTTGGTTCTGTGATTCTCTTCCTTATGGGTTGGAGACAAGGAAGGGGCTCAGTCCCTTGAGCCTCCCTTCTGGAGGGAAAGGGGCTGAAGCCCTGCATGTTTTCCAGGATTAAACTAAAAACACTCGAGAGGATCTGTGTGGATCCTAACACCCTCTGGGTGAGGAAGCTCCTGCAGGACCTCCCGAAGCTGTAAGCATCCTGGCCCTGACCTGAGGGGCAAGCAAAGCAAGACCTGGGGTTCCTGAGCCATCCCTTGATCCTGCTCTTTACACATTTTGCCCTTCTGCTCCTGACAGGAGGAAGAAAGCTGCTCCCCAGTGAGGCCTGGCACGATGGCCCCATGGCTGGATACTCTGCTCCCCACCACTGCTTCTCCCCAGCCCAGAGGGCATTTTCCCCTGTTATGCACCCGTGGAAAGGCAGAGGCTTTTCCCCATCTCCACAGTGATTCATCCCGCAGCCCCCCACTGTCAGCAGCGAGTGAGATGTCTCCTCTGAGCACAAGAAACTGAGGTCTAATAAAGGCAGCAGCCCTCTCTTATTTACCATCACTGTTGTCCCTGCAGCATGCAGTGGGGCCGGGTCTCCTGCTCATCACTCACCTTTCCTGCCGCCACGTGAGCTGTGCTTGTAGGATGAGGCTCTGCTGGTTTCTGCATTGGGCAGGAGGTGCTTCAGGCCACGTGCTGGAGGGGAAGCGATGGCAAGGAAGTAAAATTGATGGGCACAGGGCAGATGCTTTTCCCCAGTGTTTCCCAGCCTATGAAATCCCCACTGGGTTGGCTATAAAGCAGCCCAACAGTGGCTTGGGGGCAGTGAGGATGCGGGCGCTGCAGGCAGCACTGGCCCTGGGCCTGCTGCTGAGCAGCCTGCTGCCAGGGGATGGTGAGTGAGGGACCTGGGGACCCACTGCGAATGCTGGGTGGGGGCAGTGGGCCCGTGGGCTTTTCCGAGCTTTTGGCTTTCTGCTTCTGGCTCTCTCTGAACTCAAGATTCATCTTTTCTTTCAAGCTGAAGGGGTGGCATTTGCCTGAGGTCTTTATGCTGCGTCTCTTCTCAGACCAAGTGAAGCTTGAGTGCTTGACAAGTGAGCAGCACATGGTTTAGTTCTGAGAATGTTGGTTACGTCTTCCAAACCCCTGCTGTAGGCATGATATGAAATGCTTGGAGCTGCTTTGGGAGGGATTGTCCCTGCACATGCTAACGTGTGCTGCTGTGTGCCCTGCTAACGCCTGCATGCGTCCCATGGGGGCCATGGGGTCCCATGGGGAGGTTGGGGGCTGAGCACCGGCTGTGGGCTGCTGTGGTGCAGGTCTGTCACTGGAGAGCCTGCTGACCAACAAGAGGTGCAAGTGTGTCAAAGTGACTGCCCAGGTCATCGGCCTGGGGCTCATCCTCGCCATTGATGTGACGCCGCCGAGTATTCACTGCCGGAGGAAGGAGATCATGTAAGTGAAAATCTGGAGCCTGGGAAAAATGCCTGGGTGCCTGCATCCTTTGCAAAGCTGTGTGGTGCCTCTTGCAAGGTCTGCCCTCTCTCAGGGGGTGCTTCCACCTGTTTTAAGGGGGGTTACCTCACAGAGCGGAGGCTGAAGACCCCCAAACTTATCTCTCTCACAGCAAGGTGTCAGGGTGTGCTTCCCTGTATGCATACTGGAGCATAGAAGGTGTTGGGTCAGGAGAGCTCTGGGGAGGGGCTGAGTGGGTCTGGTCTCCTTGCAGCCTCACCCTGAAGAGAAACAAGAAGGTGTGTGTGGCCCCTGAGGCACCCTGGATCCAGCTGCTCATCCACAAGCTGACGCAGAGAGATGTCACCAAAAAAGAAGTGGCGGCAGTCGCTCAGTCACGGGGAGAAGCGGGGAGACAGCCAACAGCCCCGTAGCAGGACCTGCATCCCTTCCCCAGCAGCACTCGTCCCTCCCTCTGTCCAGCCCTGGTTTTGGCTGGGGGCAGGAGCCTTTCTCCTCCAACCTCCCCAAAACCAGGTGGTCTTGTCAGACCCTGGTGTTGCCCTACATTTTGGTGATTCTGCTGTCCCCACGCATGGTGCCCACCCAGGGTTCAATTAAACTCTGAGTGCTCTGCCCTTGATTCTCTCCATGAAGATTTGTGTGAATACTGTGTTTCCATTGCATGCATCCCCAGGATGGGTTAGATGGGAACTGTGGCACTGTGAAGCCCGCAGGCAGGGCTGCAGGGTGTTTCCTATGCATGCTGCCCTTCCTCTGCCCCAAGGACCTGGAGGCTTTGTGCTTCTTTGTTCGTTTCCCTGCGCCGAAGGAAGGATCCTGAGTGGTGTGTGCTGTAAGATGTGGTCTGACCTCTGAAAAGCTCAATGCTGGTGGCAGCAGTGCTGCCTCTCTGCTGTGTGAGCATGGGGAAATAGGAGGGAGTGGGAGATTTCCCAAAAACTGGGGGAGGTGGTCTCTGAACATCCCTGGTCAGGAGTAGCCCTGGACGGTACCTTTGTACCTTCCCTCCTGTGTCCCAGGAACACGAACAAGAGATTGTTGGAAATGGCACATTCTCCATAACTGAGTCTTTTCAGTGTGTAGAAAGAATCATTTTGTGCAAGTGGAGCTGGCATTCTCTTTCAATAGTGCATCAATTACTGCAAGTGGGAGATGGGCAGAAAGAATTCCTTACTACTTATTCCTGTGGGAAATGCGGAAGAAGCGTGTTGCTATGTTTCTGTTCAAGAGTGCTGCTCTTGCAACTGAGGACCTGAGGGCTGGTGTCAGGCATGGGAATGCCTGGAAGATTCACAGTGTGTCGGTATGGGGCTGGTGGTTCCCAGGGCTGGCAGCTCCCAGGGCTGGCACACAGTTTGAGGGCATGGGAGAACAGAGGGCAACTCCTGGCCTCCAGCCCAGCTCCAGGTGGCCAAGTGGCCAGAGGAGCCTCTGCTCACAGAAACCTCCCCATTCCATTTGCACAAAGCGCAATGGAAATCCCCTTAAAACTTCGGTGTAAGCACGTCCCAGCGACACCACTGCTTCCCAATTCTCCGTGCGCAGTTCCACCTTCTGGGGGGAGGACACGGCTGTTGCAGAAACGAAGCACAGGAAAGAGGTCCGGCTGAAAAGCACCCAGCCTCCCCAAAGGAGAACTGCAGGAAGGGGCAGAGGGGTGGCCACACCTGTGAGTTTACGAATTAAGGGCATCTTTAGCTAACGTGGTGCACACAAACACTTTAATTGCTTTGAAAGAAAACACATGATGCAGTAATTAAAAATTGAAAACAAAGCCAAAGTCATGTAATATGCCACTTGTAAAGAGAGCCACCATGATTTCTTTTTTGCTTTGGAACAAAGACAAATACAGACAAACGCAAATTTGGTAAATGCCTAAGTTTTAGAAACTGTTCAACAAAGAGAACAAGACCAAGTACCAGAATCATTCAAACCCTCACCCTCACCAGTGAGAGGTTTTCTAAGCTAAATGCCTTGTATTATTGCAGGACTGGGGGAAGGAAGGAGTCATGTCACTTGGCATGCTTTGCCATCAATGATGTTTGAAAAACCCTGTACCAAAGTGCACGAGCATTTCTCTAGCTTCCTGTTTATTTTCAGACATATGTCAAGGAACTACTCCTGAAGTCCACCACCCTCCAAATAGCCAAACCTGCAAACTTTGTCACATCTGAATACCCATCGTAGAGTCAAATGATTTTTCTCGAGTCCTTAAAAGGTGCTAGTTTTGTCACTTTCTTGATGGTGCCATTTTGTCACTTTTCTGAATGTGTCATACCTGTGCCTATCTCACCAGCTCTGCCTTTTGTCTCAGCTCCATTTCTCAGAACAGAAAACCTGTGCTCGGTACCCGTGCAAATGTTGACACAAGAGGAGATACTATGTCAGCTATGGCTGTGCCTGTATCTAAAGCTTTATAATCTCCTTTGAAATTGGTTTTTAACCTTAAAGTGCTTTCTGGGCTGACACTTGGCATAGAGATGTAGGAAATGAATGGTTTTCATCAGGTTTTCTTGGGTTTTATGCTGCTTTTGAACATTGAAGGGAGATAAAGGGAGGATGTGCTACAATACTTCTGTACTCATTTAAAAAAAAAGATGAGCTGCATAATCCAAGATGCCTTTCCTCATTACGAGATGAAGAGATTCAGCTAATAAGAACATGTCTCAGGAAAATCCAAACCCCTCTGCACATAGGGTACATTTATTTTCCAGTCTCTCATCTGTATAAAGCTCTTTGCAATCAAGCAGTTCGGATCCTTTTCAGGCATAGGAAATCTGACAGTCAAAATCTTCCCCATTCTGAAGCCAATGTGAGCTTCAGCAGATTCTCTTCCCTTTTCCATTCCCTTCCTTTCCCTTTCCCTTCCCCTGTCAATTAGCAGTGACATAGCACACAGCAGGCTCTGAAGACTACACCCTTCATATCTACCTACATGCAACACCATCTGCTACACTGGCATGAAGTGAGGAAAGGAATTCTGTGATTATTACCGAAAAAACCCTGGATCCATTGCAAAAGAACAACAAGCTGATGTAAAACAGTGAGACACTTCTCATTCTAACACTTTGCTATCATCTCGAGAGGCTGTAAGGAGCGCCTGCCGAAGAGGTGTGACAGGGAAAGCATCATTCCTTATGTTCAATTTTGGCCTTTGGTCTTTATTATCATTACAAGAAAAACGTCTGTTAAGAAATGCATAGCAGTCAAGAACAAGTAAATGGTAATTAAGCACAAAGCTGAGGTCACAGGGGATAACAACTGCTCTTCCCTCTCACACCCAGGTAAGGGTGCAGATCGCACTTTTGTGTTCTTTCTCTTGCAGGCTACTGACTTGGTGTGGATAGGATTAAAAAAAATCTTTCACATCATCCCACTATGTTAAATTTCATGCCAAGGGGAAGTTTTCATGTGAGAAACTTAAAAGACATTGGGAAAAATGAAGAGTGCATGTCTGGGCTTAAATCTGGTCTTTGACATGAAGGACAGTCAGCCCTGCTCCTACCAGAAAGGCATCATTGCTGTGCTTGTGCTCTAGGAACCTCTGAAGGGCTTTTAGCCACCTCGTAGAGAACAAGTCATGTGAACTTTCCACATCTCCAATGCTTCCTTGCACTTCAAATCCAACTAGGTAAGGAAAGCCGGCCCTCGAAAGCCACGCTGATACACCATAAGAAATGCAGCCCTGTACTCAGGATTTGGGAGCTGCAAGTGCTCGGCACCTTTGCAAACAAGGCCACGGGCTCTGGCTGCACAAGCACGGATTGGGCATGAGTTTAGGAGACCCCATAGCAAAGCTGCAAAGTGGGAGGCCCCAGTGGTCCACGGCACTGCCACAGCTCTAAAGACCATGGAATGGTTCTGAAAGGTCAATGGCAAAAACTTCTCAACAGGTTTGGCCCCAAAACTCTGGGCTCTATAGTTGGTAAAACACAGGACAGCAAGGGGTTGAGACCGACAAGAACTTTTCTGAAGGGTTCTGCAGACTAAAGAGAGTGGCTTCAAACACACATAGAAAGCTTATGGATAGAAAGAAATATTTTCTGAATATAGGTGTGACAAACCGATGGAAAAAGCTTTTAACGAGGCCAATGGGAAGAAGAGCTGCTTTCAGAGCCCGTTGTGCCAAACCTGACTTCAGCGCATGGTATGCAAATGTTCACACCCCTTACATCAAAATAAGGAAACCAAAATATTCAGCTACAATGTACAAAATTCTCTTTTATATATATATATATATATATACACACAAAACCCCATATCTAACAGATTTACCATATTGAATTTTAAAAAGTTGCTTGTAGAATGGTGCTGGATTTTTTTTCTCTGCTTATTTTAGGCAGTGCTGCTGCTTAGAAGTTGATACCAGGCACGATATAATTGAAACCCTACCAAGAAAGCAAGGAGCAGGAAGGGGCTGAGGGCTTTTTCCTAAGCACAGGTGGTGAGGACACTGTGATGTGCCCAGCGCCTAAGCATGGGAAACAAGGGTCGGCGATGGAGAGAACCACTGTTTTCCCATTAACGTGTTTACAGTTAGGGATATTTTGCTCTCTATTACTTTCCTTCTTTTCCCCTATAACATACCCTATGTGGCACTGTCAGCCTCCATCTGGGTCAAAAGAAAATGAGTGTCACCATCTGGATGCTGCAGATGACTGTGAAACAGATCTCATCCCACGCACGTGGCTTGTGGCTGATGGCTCCATGCTTCTTCTTGTCTCAGGGCAGAGCTCTATGAAGAGCAGCAGTTCTGCTCAGCTGGAAAAAAGCACAACCCCTTACTGCTCCTTTTGTAGGAAAGGGGGAGAAACCAGAGGAAAAGAGGGAGGGAGCCAGACATGTGTGAGGCAGGTAAACATGCCCTGGTTATGTGCATTGACTGAAACAAAAACAGAGTTCTAGAGAGATTTTT